CACCGATCGCTATACGAACAAATACAATAAGTACAATAATATACAATATATCATGTGTAATATAATAATATTATACAATAATGTATTAATAATGTATTTTTATGCTTTAAACTGTACAACGCAAAAAGCAATAAATAGTTACTATATATAATCAGATATTACACGTATATATGTTTCTATAAACGCGTACGTTGAACACACAATACGTACAAGATTGCTAATACATGTATGATGTATTATCTATAATATCTATCCGACTACTTAACGTTATTGAAAAAAAAAATACATCTTTCTACACAAACCCTGCAACGTATCGTTTTTAATCATTTTTCAGTTTCATGGGAAGCTACATTTTACTTAATGAACCGTCCGACAGGAAACATTAAATTATACGGTCGAAATATCCCAAAAACACGGTTTCCCTTTACACCTTTTATGTGCGTGGGGTATAAAGCGAAGTGGGCGAGCACAACAACCCCCATAACTAACACCCATTTCGTGATGCACCTGTACCTATATATTTATATATTATATACCCGAGCGACGCTCCTATTTATATATATAAATATAGGTAGATCCATTGATAATATTTTAGATTTATGCGTCTCATTATTATGTGCCTTTTTTTAAAACTCTTACCGTGTCAATCAGATAATAATATATTACTACATTTTATTTGTATTCGATAAAATATCTCAATATATATATATGTGTAGAACATATTACTCAAAATATATAATATAATCTGAACTGAAAGTATATACAGACGGCGACGATGCGATGTAGCGATGGCACCGTCAAACTGTCGCAGGGTGTGTTTCGGTGTGCGCCTGTCCAATAATAAGTCAACGGTTTTTTTTTCTATTCGATATTTTTTGAAAATAATACATATACCTAAGGCTCAGGAGAACTCGGCATACACTTTTTGCTTTACCTGAATTCTACGAAATTAAACTATAGTTTCGCGTTTTGTTAAACTGCAGGTCTGCAAGACATATTATCCGCGATCAACAGGTCGAGTATTGTGTATCCGTGTAAATATGTTCAATGTTGAACTATACACATTTGTACTAACTTATTAATATTATAGTGATAATATTCAGATATAGTTTTAATAGACTAGGTATGATATTTGCCAGCTTTAAAGTTTACGAATGTGGCTGCAGGAAGAGAGATCCGAATAGTCCAACCAGGTAAGTGTTGGGTGTGAACTTGGACTGCAAATACAGCAGCAAGACTCCCTTCAGTATTAAACGCACTTTTAATTCGGTCCAAACATCGTCGTATATTTCAATATGACCAATAACATTTTTATTTAAAAAGTTTTGCTCGTTATTCGGGCAGCAGGTATCTATATAAAATTATTATATAATGTGTAGTGGAACGTAGAAAATAATATTTGGTGTTTATTCCACGTGAACAATGGTGTCTAAGTCTTTGGAGTTTTCGAAAGCATAATATTATAATACACGACGATAAATTCAGTCGATTCGCTCGCGAACAAGACGTGCTCTCTCTTTCCGTGTTTTGATTATATATAGGTATTATAATATCAACCCCGGTACAAAATATATTTATATAAAATGTGTTAAAACTTTTTAAATATTTCACCGTTAGTTTATGCGTGCATAATATATATATATAGTTACCTATATATATGCGAGTGAATGCGCCGGCCGCGTTTTAAAAATTTTAAATCATGTCTCGCCCCCATAACTCGTGATTATCTCGCGTCGAAACACATTATGAACGTGAGCATATAATTTAATAATTGGCGCATTATAGAAAAGACGCGGAAAATAGCGCGAAAACGTCACCGTTTTGTATATAACACTATACAATATCATTATATTATACTATTTGAGTATTTCCAAACGTTCAGTTTTTCGTCGATAATAATGACAAAAATAATAATGAGGTACCTACGTCAGCCTGGCACCTTGAATTCATAATTTCGAAGTCAAACCATACTACAAATAATAGCAACCAATTCATAACAATTATTAAACGAAAAATCAGAATTTGTAACCCAAGTCTTAACCCTAAAATTTGTGTTTCACTCTTCGGGTGTCAGGCTGACGACGTATATTATAATAATGCATCAATATATTACTATTTTAGTGCGATATTATCCGACTATACAATGTACATTTTATTTAACCGTCGAACTGTAATAGTTCATAGTACTAAAAGCTAAATGATTAATAATATAAATAAAAAAATATTACTATTAGGTATATTTACCTATAGGTACTATACAGTACATACCTACGTCATGTATATACGATTACCGTTATGAATATATATTGTTATTAAACGTTTATTATTTCATGGCGTTTTTTTTAACGACCTTTTTTTTGACGGTAACAAAACAATAAGAAACCGGATTTAAAAAGCGGAAGTCAAACAAAAAGTGTCGAAATTGAACAGTAGGTAGACGCCAGACGGCACAGTATTTTACAGCGTTTTACATCAACTAATATGCATTTTCGGTAATGGTCTCCGGGGTCCGATTTCGCGTTAATAACGACTACCATATTATTATTATACCATTTTAATTTCATCGTGTCACCACCAGAACGGTATTTTAAAACGGACATTAATTGTATGTGATCGTTATGACGTGTTACCGTTTCACACTTGTGCGCCACGGGAATTAATCATAAATGGTAATTTAAAACACATTAACGACAACGCGTGGAATTTCGGAAGTAAACTGTCGACCATGCGACGATAATAATATTGTTACTAAGTAATCATTAGTCATATAAAATCGAGTGGTTACGCACTATAAATCGGAAATACATATATGATATTATTATCAATCGAAGTGTAGTAATAGTTACATAGATATAGGAGCATATGACGGGCCATATGACTCATCGTAATATTACTAAACTACTGTTATGGTTGTAATTATCATTATGCCTATTTGACATTGTATAGCATAATATAGACACTGCAGGTACGAATTAGTTATTTTTAAAATGTCTATCGAAACAAAGCCATTAATATTCTTTAACGAATGACGAAGCAATGTAATGTGGATTAGTGCGAATAGCATTACATTATTATAATAATATTAAAAAATATTAAGCTGATAGAAAAATGTAAAATATTATATTAGGTTTATCCTAACAGGTGGCACTTACGTATAATATCATGTAAACGTATAAAAGATAAAAACGAAAACTGTAGTGTCGTTATATTATGTTATTTGCATGAATGATATTGCCTAAGTTATGATAAATAATCACCCTGTGCACATATCACATTTTTTTGTCTAGTATAGGTATATTATATACTATATACCAGGGATGTGCAAACGGCTTAAAGAGGCTAAAAAATAAAAATAAATAGACAAGTACTAGGTAGTAGGTAGTAGGTACCTATCTATTCGAAAGAATCAAAACGTTGCAGGCTTATCTTGCACCGGAAGCACATCACCGAAGTACACCTTAGCGAGAACAATATTTTAGCCTCCAGTCGTTCGCAATTTCTCAAAATTATAATATTACATTATTAGTGTGCGTTTCTCCCCCCCCCCTCTATTGTCTGCACATTAGTCGAATGGCAGAAGGGTGGAAGTCGTCGGCGGGGTGGTGGCGACGGTTAAAAAGAATGAAAAAAAAAAACCGTTAAAAACGCTCATCGTCGTTTATCTTCGACATGTGCAAGTTGCGGTGCGTACTATCTACCGACCATCTCACAACGCACACTGACTCACACACAAACACACACACACACACACACACACACACACACACACACACACACACACACACACACACACACACACACACACAAACTTACACAAAAGCGATTGTCGTCGATGGTATAAAATATAAAAATATTTTATTGTATATTATTATGAACAGTCATACGATTATAATGATTCGACGTTTAGCGTCGCTGTGCGTATTGTTGTGCGCGAGTAATATACGACGGCGGCGAGAATCCCGAAACCGCGTACAAATCGGACGGCGTCGCCCCCGAATAATATACCTAACCTATACACCTGGAAATGACATACGACAAAATATGTCGAAAAACGAATACGACATTTCAAGCGATAATAATGGTATAGGTGCTATACGGTGGGAATACAGAACCGAGTCCGGCGAATAGTATAATATTATTATAACGATAATATGTACAACGATAACAATAATATGAGATGGCTTCGTTTTCTTTAACGGATGTATACGCGCACACCATTCGAGTAGGCGGCAGTGTACCATCACCACCATCACCACCGTCGTCATCATCATCACCATTATCGTCGTCGTCGTCATCGTCCATTGTTGTCAGTCGCGTACCTCTCTATACGTTTGTACCTGGTCCCCACCGCCGCCTCGATTGTGTGTGTGACTCGGACGACTACACACGCAAACGCACACACCACGCACACGCACGCCAGAACGGTGTAAAAAAAGAGGAGATGGCGTGTAGTGCGCTCGTGTGTGTGTGTGTGTGCGTGTGTATAATATACGACGACGTCACGGACCGACGGGAATGCGGTCGTCAGGTAGGGCACAACCGGTGAGTTCCTGTTGCGGTCGGACGACTCGAGTGGGGGGAAACGTTCGACGGCGACACGAGCGCCGGCCAGTACCGCCGCCCGCTCAGTCAGTTTTCGATACCGGTTTGTGTCGCCGTCTTCGTGTGTTCCGCGCTCGAAAATATTATTGTGTGTGTTGCGTCTGTGCTCTCGCGAGTGTGATCCGTTTTGAAGATGATGTCTTGTTCGCGTCGACGACGTGCGTGATCCATTTACGATACTTACAGTGCGCAAGTGAAAAAGTATTATTATTATCATAACTCGTACAACTTGTTCGGGTTTTTCGTGCGAAATATCGACATGTCGCCGTCGTCACAGTTATAATAACAGTGCCCGTAATCCGGACTTGGCGATATCGAAAAGCGTGCGCCTCGAATACTATTTTTAATATTACATTATTTAAATTTCTCGTCTTTGCGGGTTATTCGCTATCGCGAAAATGTGGCGGTTTAGCGGCGGTCGCAGTGCGCGGTTCTTGGCCGCGGCGGCGTTGCTGGCGCTGGTGGTGCCGTCCGCGGTCCGGTCGTTTGAGGGCTGCCCGGCTGTGTGCTCCTGCAAGTGGAAAGGCGGCCGGCGGACGGTCGAGTGCGCCGACCGCGCGCTCATCACCGTGCCGACGGGCGTGGACGCGGACACCCAGGTGTTGGACCTGTCCGGAAACAATCTGCAGATCCTGCCCAACGAGACGTTTTACAAGGCGGGCCTGGCCAACTTGCAGAAGGCGTACCTGCGCAACTGCCGCATCGGGCAGATTGACGAGAGTGCATTCCGTGGTCTGACGAACCTGATCGAGCTGGATCTGTCTAACAACATGCTCACGTCCGTGCCGTCGTATGTGTTCCGGGACGTTCCGTACCTGCGAGACCTGTCCGTGGCCGGCAACCCCATACAGAAAATCGAAGCGCACGCCTTTTCCGGCTGTCCGTCCGTCGTTAAGGTGGACGCGTCCCACTGCGGGCTCCAGTCGGTGGCCGGTCTCGCGTTCAGCGGCGTCGTCCGGTTGGAGACGCTCCGCATCAACGACAACCGGCTGACCGAGCTGTCGGCCACCGTGCTCGAGTCTCTCAACAAGCTCCGGTCCGTCGAGCTGCACGACAACCCATGGGTGTGCGACTGTCACCTGCGGCCCATGAAGCTGTGGCTGGCCGGCAACAACGTGCCGTACAGCCAACCGGCCCTGTGCTCTGGCGGCCCAGACAGGCTGTCAGGCAAGCCGCTCACTGACCTGGACGTGGAGGACTTCGACTGCCGGCCGGACGTTCGCGCCGAGTCCCGGTACGTAGAGGTGACAGAGGGTCACAACGTAACGGTCCGGTGCCGGGTCGAGCCCGGTTCGATGGCACACATTGCTTGGTACCTGAACGGTCGCCGGCTACAAGGCGCCGGTACACCGGCCGTCGGATATCCGGGCGCCGCGTCCGCCAACCCGCGCATGTTCGTCGTGGACGGCGTGGACGAGGAGGACGGTGGCCGCCGGAGCGAGATGACGCTGACGGACGTGCGGCGAGAGGACGCGGGCCAGTACTCGTGTCTGGCCGAGAACCGGGCCGGCAACTCCGAGGCCAACTTCACCGTTTACGTGACCGACCGGCCGTCCGTCATCATGTCGACGTTCGGTTCGGCGCACGTGAACGGCGTGGCCGCCGCCATGGCAGCACTCATCGTTTTCATACTGGTGTTGATCGCGTTGACCGTGATGCGCATCCGGAGGTCCGGATATCCGGCCGACACCAAGCCCACGGAAGTGGCGGGAAACCGCAACGGTGGCGGTAGCGGCAAATCCAACACCGGTTCGATGGCCATGCATGGTGGTGGAGCGACATTGGGACGCGGCGCGGGAGGATACGGAAACGGCGGGATGTTGACAGGGGGTGGAAAGACCAACCCTGCCCTGGACATATCGTCCGTGATCGAGAGGAACTACGACCCTGACCTGGAACCCGGGCTGGGATCCGTCTGCACGCCCACAGGATCGTATCACGTATCCGGACTGGACCTTATACACGACCACGACGCTTCCCGGTTGGAGATGTGTGATTCGCCGATGTCTTCGACCGCCAAACCTCCACCGTCGTATTACAGCGGCGGCAGGACCGCATCCAGTGGCGGAAACGTGCGACCGTACGACGATCGGACGCCGATCATCGGCACCGGAAGTGCGGGCGACGCGTACAGCGTGGGCACCGGATCCGACGAAGTGTTCTCGTACAACAGCCAACAGCAGTTGCACTACGGCGGTGGTCATTACGGCCATCAACAACAACAAGCCGTTGGCGGCGGGAGCGTCAACAGCGATTACCCGGCCGACTACGGTCTGCCGATTATACCGACCGGCCATCATCTCAACCAGTCTTCGACCAACGTGTCTCAGTACGGCCATCATCCGCAGCAGCACCCCCAACAACAACAACAACAACACCACCAGCAACAACAACCATCACAACATCATCAGTTCTACAACAACCATCTCCAACACCAGCAGCAGCAGCATCAACATCAACCGGAATACGTCCAACAACAGCAAGACGCGTCTCAGCAACCGTCGGTCAAGACCCTGCGGGTGTGGCAGAGGGGCGTACCGGTGTTGCCCACCACGCCGTCCCTGCAGAGGTTCGCCAACAGGACTTCGCCCACCACACCCGGCACCGACGTCTGAGGGTAGTACTCGATTCGAGTTGACCCGGGTTCGTTGTTGTTATCCTTCCGACACCTGTAGTACACCGTAATGTTAATCTTTCATGTTGTACCGTTGTTTCGTTTTATTTCATGACGTCGCGTTTCGTTACTCTTCTGCGATTTTTGTTGTTATTTTGTTGTTATTGATGTAATATGGTTATTATGTTGTTATTTTTAATTTCGTGCTCGGCGTGTGACGCAACCGCGATGACCCGAAACGGACGATTTTTTTTCATCCCGACAACTCTCCAGCTGGACTCGCGACCAAAATCTTTGGCCAACCATAGGTAGAACGACCTTTTCAAATCGTCTGCCGAGTAGGTAGTGAAAAAAAAAAAAGTATCTTTTTTCGGTAAAAACTCCGACCGGTCACGTGTATAGGCTCGTTTTTTTTTTCGAGTAAAAAACGAAATATTTTTCCTAATTTTTCGAAAACCAAAACGAAACGGAAAAAACCGGCCGTGAGATCTCATTCGTTACGGAGACTCGCTTCATGCCCAATGTTGTTCCTCTTGTACATTATTGTAATAGCTGATGTATATATATAAAATATTATATTGTAGATACGACGGCGTGATGTACCTAAATATATCATTATTATTACTATATATCACGCCGTAAACGAGTTATGTGTAAGTATAAAATACGTATAGACGTATTATTAATATTTCCCCCCAAAATATGGCTGTGATGATGCGGTTTGTTTTTTGCTCGATGGCGACAAAGAAAAACCTATTTTTTTTATTATTATTATTATTTTTTTTTTTTTGAAATTACCTCTGTAAGATAAAAATGTTAAAAACAATAAAAATAAAAAGAAGTTACGATTATTCCGTAATATTGTTTAATGCAAACGACTACCATAATATATAATACAATATAAAATATTATGGCGACGGTGACGGTGACGATATTATGTAGGCGCTCGCACGACGCATCGCTGAAATACCAAATCAAACTTTATTATTATTACAATTGCAGTTTAATAATTAATATGTTTTTATTAAAACGCATAAAGTTATAAAATATTATATCCCTCGTGTCCGCGGCGTGCGCCAAAACTCTGGTCATCCGGCGTCATAGACTATATAGTATATATTATATTATTATTATTATTTACGCATTATCACTACCTATTATTATATCATATTATGTTATAAAATTGAATGAATACGAACCTATGATTATAGTTATTGTAATATTTCCATTTTTTAGTATTATCGTTGTTACAATATGTATATATATAATATATAATAAGGAATATTATTTATTTGTGGCATGTGTAGGTAAAAATATATTTAATATTAAGCATTGTACCTATATTTTTTTTCTCTTATAATTTTGATGAACTATAATATAATATAATATTATGTTCATCGTTTTTTCGTCGGCCCCATACAGTATATATTTTATTATAATATTATTATCATAAATAAAATACGAATTATACGTTAAGACAATAAAATAATTTATTATATACCCGACGTTTTTTATTTAAATATACGATTATTTTTTTTTTTACATATATTAAATCATTTGCTGAGCTCCGATCGTAATATTTTTGTCACGGCCACATTGTACTGTTTTTCCAGAGGCGTTTATTCGACATTGGTAGACGTACACTATTATTATATCGCGATCCATCACAGATCTGTGAGCGGTATCAATGGTAACCTATCCTATATCTACCACGGTTATCGCACATTTATAGTTTCGCCGCGGCGGTTCTCCTTGACACGTGGCTGTGACGTTATGGACCGCATCTCCGCCGCCGCGTGAAAGTTCGAAGGATGAGCAGCAGCTATGGAGAGACAGAGAGACGTTCGTCGTAATTATTATTTGATCGTTACGACGTGCAACAGCGGGAGAACGGTTTTTCCTCCGTTCTCTTCTCTCGTCTCTAATAAAACAATATATTACGCCGGGTCCACATAATAATATAGCACCGGGGCAATGAAACAAAACGTCTTAAACACGCAAAACTTTTCCCAACTAGGACGATCTGAAATTGTTTTTCAAAACACAAACACAGACCCGGGATTATAAAATTTATGATAATACGTTACATTATTATTATATTTTGAACGCGTACACAGCGGGTAAGGCTGCCAGGGTACCTACTCCCTGGGAGTAGAGTGTTCTGTGTCTCGTCTGATATATTATTACAATGTATAAGCACACGTTTTATAGTCTCTTAAATAATATTGCGTTGTGTTTTTGAGAGAAAACTCGCAGACGAATGACTCCGAAGGCGACGACGGAGAGCTGCGTACCTAGACGGAGACGGAGCAAATAATATACAATAAAAATGGTAAGAGAAAAAAAAAATCTTACGCGCCGCCGACGAAATCTTTCGAACGGTTACGGACAGGTACACAGACGATCATATATAGGTAGGTAGGTACCTACAGAAAACGGCATTAGGTTATGTATAGCTGCTGGTATATAATATGATGTCGAAGCCACCACAATGACAAAAAAAAAAAGCTATATATATTATTACACGCAGATGGGAGGGCTCACGGTTTTTTTTTTCATTCTTTCTTCGGGGCCGTTCACTATTCTTTATTCCTTCACCCCTCCACCCACGTATACCTTCTTCGTCATCGTATACGGTATATACCTGTAGCCGCACACCTGGTATACCTACCGATTATCCGAAATCTCGACGCGGCGGCTTATACGCGTCTCTTTTTTTTTCCTTCAGTCCGTCGTCTCCGTCACTCACTCACCCTCTCTCTCTCTCATTCTCTCTCTTTCTCGATCCCCATCCGAAGGTGCATGGTTATATGCCTAAAGTATATAGCCACACAGGTACAATACGCTGCAGTTACCCACCTACTCCATCTCCACACACACACGTATTTATATAGTCCATGTGTGAGTACGAGTACCTGCTCCATCGTACGGACACCTGGCCCGGCGGTCCACGTTCGTTTTGTATAACCGATTTCGGCGGGGCTGCAGCTTCTTATTGTATAGGTAGAAACCCTTATCGAGACGACGGCGGTAGTGTTGCTTAGTCAAACGACTGCTGCAGTCGTGTGTTCGACCTCAATAATATAATATAATAATATATTGTATTGTTTGTCTTTTGTTGTGAAACGTTTTCGGGTCGAGACAAAATGTAAATACTCATCGCCAAACGGAGTAAACATAATCGCGAGAGCACCGCTCGTTTTAAATCTCTCGCTCTCGGCCTTGGTATGCTTATTGTAATGGTCTTATATATCGTGCACTGAGCACACACTATTATCAAACCATATAATAAAATAATAATAATAATAATATAGGTATTAAATTGTATGCGGACCTTTATGCTTTTTCCGCCATACCTCACGTGTATAATATAATACGACCAAATCCGCACAAAAAACCGCTCAAAATGTGCATAGGTGTGTATAGGTAACACGATCGATGAAAACTATAATATTGCGATAACGTAGAAACGCACACGGTATAGGTAATATTATAACATACACTCGCTATTATAGGAAAATTGAAATATTGTTTTTCTCTTTTAGTGCACTGACGTGTGTTTGAATAGGTGTTTTCGGCATGAAATCCAAGCAATTTGTATAATAATAATTTGGTCGACGGTCATACATTTCACACACAAACATTCTTATTTGATATTGTCATAAATGCGCATTTGCTAGTTTGCAACGTATATTATATTATAATAATATTTGGTATGTTAGACGTATTGTGACTCGTATTGCGTTTTAAGAGAATTGCTATTTTATTTTCCGCTTGCACGCGACATATCATCCGGAACGTCATCGCAAGTGGCCACAATTAATAAAAAAAAACCCTACGTGTGCGCTTTTTGAGAATAACATACGATAATATTGAAATAAAAAAAATCTCCAGCTGGTCGCATATCACTTTATATTATGTAGGTACAGAGTTGTGTAATAGTAGTATATATTATGTATACGTTTACGCGTTTTCAGCCGCGTTGCAATAAACATAAAAAATTGCAATAATATTTTATACGTCCTGCAGTATACCTACCTAATAATAATATTATTATCAAACCGCCAAATCAAAATAATTTATAATAATATTATACGTCGAGCCGACAACAACGGATTTTGTGTCGTGGACGGAAATATGGTAAAGTATATATAATAATATAGTCGCATCATTAAGAAAATATACATATTTTATACTCGAAAATTGCAATTTTCATAGTGCACGAGCGTTTTATTATTATTACTATTATTATAGTGACGGCGGCGTTGTGTGTCTTGTTACCGCGTCTACCATGTCCATGTGAGATACCCGGTATAGGTACACCGCACTTTGCACTGTCCCGTAATAATATCATAATAATATTTTATTACACTAACGCGGCAAAACCTAAAAAAAAAAACACTCATGAAGATGATAGTACTTAATAATATTATTATAATATAACGAACCGGCCAGTGTCGGGTTGTGTGTGTTTTAAAATTATAATATTTTGTTCGTGCACACTGTATTTACGTTTTGATTGTTGTTGTTGCAGTCGGTACCTATACATATATAGGCATACTTACCTATAACTGGTATATAATATTATATTATAATATGTGAATCCGACCGGCAGCTGCACAGCGAGCGCAACCGATTCGGAATCTCCGGGTTGATCTCTATAACGAGCGACGTCTTCCGTCGAAATTAAATTGCTCTCCGGTAAAAAGAGAATCGGAAAAAAAAATGAAATATCGTAACTATAATAATATAGGCAACGATAACATCGCTCGACGTTGGGGTCTTTTTTTCGTCGCCAGCTATCTAAAATATGAAGCACTGTGTATATTACAAACGTGATAAAAAAAAAAAAAACATTCTGTCGCACAACGAAAATCGTTCTGAATTTTTCATCCGATACATTTTCGGTGCGCTTAATATCGGTCACGGCGGTGTTATATAATATAGTTCTCGGTATATATGGTTAGGTATATTATATATAATAGGTACCATATTTGGACA